CGAGGTAGAGAGAGTGATAGAGAGAGAGTATGAGAGAGAGAGAGAGAGAGAGAGAGAGAAAGAGAAGATGAGAGAGAGAGAGAGAGAGAGAGAGGAGAGAGAGAGAGAGAGAGAGAGAGAGAGAGAGAGAGAGAGAGAGAGAGAGAGAGAGAGGGGGGAGAGAGAGAAGAGAACAGGGAAGAGGGAGAGAAAAAGCGAGCGTCTTGACTCCGCAAACCGCAGACACATGAGCTAGCTGTAATCTCGCCCTTTCAGCGCCTGTGTGTGCGTGTGTGTGTATGTGTGTATGTGTGTGTGTGTGAGTGGAGTGTGTGTGTGTGGATGTGTGTGGGGAGTGTGTGTGTGTGTGTGTGTATGTATGTATGTATATATGTGTGTGTGTGTGTGTGTGTGCAGATAAGAATCCGTATGATTCTTACCCTTTGAACGTCAGTGAGTTGAATTAGAATGTGAGAATGAGAGATGAAACAGACAGTGATAAAGAGAGCTGAATTCAAAACACTAAGATCGTAATCACTAACAGTAAACATGCCTAGGAAGTAAACTCAGGATATCATCGCCCCTTTAATCCTCACGTTACACAATATAGCCTTCTATTAGTAATACGATTAACGCAAATGACCGTATACTGTATTCTAGATCCACCCTGGACACAGGTAATTGTAACGCGGGTTGTGGCTCCGTAGAGTTTTGTACACGCGTGTAAATGGTGTCACACGAGGAAGATAAACAAACGCATAACTGAGCTATAACTGAATAGACGCGTCGACTGCCTGTAAAACCCTAATGGCTAAAGGGATAAAAGCGTATATAATGCAAATGAAGTATGGCGTCGGAATTTCGTCACTCGCAGCATCCCAAACAGCATCTCTGGAAGTGCGGGGGAGAGTGACTCAGCGTTACGGGTGACTCATCCGCCATATTGTTACTATGGATGCCACATGCTGCCAGATAGGGAGGGAGACGGGGAGTGAGAAGGAGAAAGAAAAGGAGAGAGGGTGAGTAAAAGAGAAAGATAGATTCACAAAGAGAAAGATAGAGTGTGCGGTGGATCAATGACCATATAAATAGACATAATAAGGATATAATAATAAAGCAAAGAGAGAGAGAGAGAGAGAGAGAGAAACAGACAGAAAAAGAGACGTGTACAAGCAAAGCAAAGATAAACTGCAAGTGAACAGGCATGAAAAGGGGACGAACTTAAAAATGAGTAAAAGTACACGCACCGCCTCCAGTTTCCCAGAATCCCCCAACAGTTTCCAGGAAGTGTACAGAGCGCGACCTGCCTGAAATAGCTCTGTATTAACCCGAGAGACTCTCGACCTACTCGACAGGACCTGGTTCTGATGACGTCATTAAAGCTAAAATTCTGTAGCTTGTAATTGGCTTGTACCTGGTACCGATGACGTCATTAAGCTAAAATTCTGCGGCTTGTAATTGGCTTGTGTGTCTGACCATTATTTAAGGCTGCTTGGGTGTAAGGAAATCGAGGTAATATGCTGTTTTTTTTTTTTTTTTTTTTTTTTTTTTTTTTTTTGCTTTATTCCCCGCTTTGCGGAGGGTAATGTAAAGGGAGAGGAAATAGGTTGCTGAGTATTTTGAAAACGATCTTTATACTTACGCTTATAGGTCTATGCATTGGTGTGATGAAGACAGATATGAGTATGACATATTCAGTCCTAAAAAATGCTAAAGTCCATGTTGATATACTCAACATGGACTTTAGTATTCTCAAAGTAAGGAAAATAATTACAGGTTAATTATTCTTAACAATGGAGATAATCTAAATTAGCATAATGACACTAATGACGGCTATGAGATTGATGTTGCTTTTATTGATAACAATTGATAATGTAAAAACAGTATCAACAATGACCATGATACAGACAATCATTACCAAAATGATAGTAATGATAATAACAGTACTACTACTAGCACTAATGCTAATTCCAATACTAATGAAAATGATGGGAATGACAGTAATAATAGTAATGATAATGATGGTAATGATGATAATAATAATAATGATAATAAAAATAATATAATAATAATAATAATAATAATATAATAAATAATAATAATATAATAATAATAATAATAATAATAAATAATAATAATAATCAATAATAATAATAACAAAATCAATGATATCAACACCTCCACTACCGGACTCTAAAACTACCGATCTTCCAGATGTCGGAGCAAGAGGCCGCCAAAGAAGTGGAAAAGCCCAAAGAGAAAGTAGAGGAGAAGGCGAAAGAAGTGAAGGAGAAGAAGGCAGAGGAGGAGAAGAAGGCAGAGGAGGCGAAGAAGGCAGAGGAGGAGAAGAAGGCAGAGGAGGCGAAGGAGGAAGCCGGGCGCAGTACCCCAGCCAGCTCGGGCACGGCGACCCCGAACCCCCCCGGTCGCAGGAGAATGGAGACGATGCTCAGGGTAGGTGAGGGAAGGGAGGGAAGGGAGGGAAGGGGAAAGGAGGAAGGGGAGGGAAAGGGAAGGAAGGAAGGGAAGGGGAGAGGGAGGAAAGAGAAGGGGAGAGGGAGGGAAGGGGAGGGAAAGGGAGGAAGGGGAGAGGGAAAAGGGAGGAAGGAAAGGGAGAGGGAAGGGAGAGGGGAAAGGGAGAGAGGGGTAGGGGGGAAGAGAGGGGAAAGGGAAGAGGGAGGATGGGAGGAAGAGAAGGGAGAGGGAAGGGAGAGGGGGAGGGAGGGAAAGGGATGGGAAAAGGAGAGGGAGGGGAGCAGAAGGGAAGGGAAGGGAGGAGGGGAAGGAAAGGAGAAAGAGAAAGGGCAGAGGATAGGGGAAGAGAAAGGATAGTGGGAAGGGAAAGGAAGGGGGATAGTGAGAGAGACGATAAAAGGGAAGGATGAAGAAGGAGAAGAACAGACGGAGCTAAGAGGGAGAGGGAGGAGGGAGGATGAGGAGGTAGGGAGAGGGAGAGGAAGAGAAGGGTAAGAGGAATCAGGAGGAGGGCAGGAGAGGAGAAGGAGAAAAAGAGAGAGGGGATTATATAGTCGGGGGAGAAGAGGGAGATAGACAGTGGTGGGAGGAGAGATGAGAATAAAGGGGAAAAGAGAAAGAGAGGAGGGTAAGAAGAAAGCAAATAAGTGGGAGAGTAAAGAGAGAGAGAAGAGAAGGAAGGAAGGGAGGGAACGAAGGGTAGGAGAAAGAGAATTGATGATGGGGTTGAAAGCGTTAGGTGAGAGAGAAAGTGAGTAAGCGAAGATAAATAAGAAAGAAAGCTGAGATGAAGGAAGAGAAACCCAGAAATGGGAAGACAAACAAAAAAGAATATAGCTTTAAAATAACTAAACCTCTATCTCAAAAAAAGAAAGAAAGCAAAACAAGTATCCCCCCAAAAAAAATATCAGCACCCCAAAAAAATAATAATAATGATAATGATAATAAATAGATAGAAAAAATAACAATACTAAAAAAAGAATAAACAAATACAAAAAATAATATGACTCAACCCTCCCTTTCGCCAGCCTCGCCCAAACCATCGAGCTTGAGAGAGCAGTTCCGAAACTTCAGCAAGTTCGGCGACACGAAAAGCGACGGCAAGATGCTGACCCTCTCGCAGTCCGACAAGTGGTTCAAGCAAGCCAAGGTCATCGACGGGAAGAAGCTCACCACGACCGACACCGCCATCACCTTCAACAAATTCAAGTAGGTGGGCGGGAAGATTGAGGGAAAGGGGGAGGGAAGGAGGGAGGAAGGAGAGGGGATGGGAAGAGGTGCGGAGGAGAGGGGAAGGGGAGGGGGAGGGGGGAAAGGGGAGGAGAGGGAGAGGGGAAGGGGAAGGAGAGAGGAGAGAGAGAGAGAGAGAGAGAGGAGGAGAGAGAGAGAGAGGAGAGGAGAGAGAGAGAGAGAGAGAGAGAGAGAGAGAGAGAGAGAGACACAGAGAAGACAGAGACAGAGAGACAGAGAGAGAGACAGAGAGAGAAAGTTTTACTTTCCATTACCATGGCGTTATTTTCAAAATTCTGTTTCTGCAATTTTGAAATCTTGTTCGAATGGGAACCGCATGCACTTCCAAAACTGCAAACATTCATTCTGGAAAATGAAAAGCGTACGAACCATAATGTTTATTTTTCTCCTGATAGTGAAGGGCCGCTGCGTTAGTGCAAAAAAATGCAGAAAACCCAGGAAATCGATACACACGTGCATAAAAAAAAAAAAAAAAAAAAAAAAAAAAAAAATAAAATAAATAAAATAAAATAAATCCCCACAGAAATATACCTCACATAATATTTTCCTCTCCTTTCCTTCCTTTAATCCTCAGGGCAAAGAAGATCTCATTCCAGGACTTTGAGAAATACTTGGACGAGATCGCAAAGTCAAAGAAACTCGACGCGACGGAAATCCGGACGAAGCTGAAGGACTGTGGGTCGCCGGCGATCACTGGCACGACCGTGAGTGAGAGCGGGAGAGCGTTCTTGCTGTTGCGATTGTTATCATTAACTTTGTTATTGTTGTTTGTAGTAGTGCTAGTATTGATGTCATTATTAACATTATTATTATTGTTATTGTTATTATTATCATTATTATTATTATTATTATTATATCATTATTATCATTATCATGATCATTATTATTATCATTATTATTATTTTATCATTATTATTATTATTTTATTATATTTATTATTACTATTATCATATTATTATTATTTTCATTATTATTATTATTTTCATTATTATTATTATTATTATTATTATTATTATTATTATTATTATTATTTTATTATTATTATTATTATTATTATTATTATTAATTATACTATTATCATTATTATTTTACTAGTATTACCCTTATTGATATTGTTGGCATTATCTTTATTATCACTATTATTATCATTATCATAATTATTGTTAATATTATTATGATCACTATTACTACTACTACTATTATTATTGTTATTATTATTAGAATTATTATTGATACAATTGCTATTATCATTAGTATTATAATCATTACTGACACAATTACTATTAGTAGTAGTGACATTATTGTTTTTATCATAATTATTGAAAGTATCATTAATATTACCATTACCATTACTATTACTTTTATCTTTATTATCATCGTTATCATTATTATCATTATTATTATTATTATTATTATATTATTATATTGTTATTATATATTATTATTATTATCATCATTATTATTATTATTATCATTATTATAATTGTTATTATCATCATTATCATTTGAATTATCATTATCATTATCACTATTATCATATCCACTATCATTATCATCATTATCATTATCATCACTATCAGTATCATCATTATCATCATCACAGCATCTCACTTGGCTCCCCTGTCCCCAGAACGTGGTGAAGAGCAGCGCCGTCGACCGCCTCACAGACACGAAGAAATTCACGGGTTCGCACAAGTTGCGCTTCGACTCGACCGGACGCGGGAAGGGAATGGCGGGAAGAAAAGACTTGCCCGATAACTCCGGCTACGTGTCGGGTTATAGGAACAAAAACACTTACGACAAAACCCATTAAAGAATAAGTGAATTCCATCGGTACAGGATTTGATATTCTGCCTTCGACAGCCATTTTTTTTTTCTTTTTTTTTATTCACTTTATTATTTTTTTTATTTTTGGAAAGGCTGAATATTTGTAATTTCTTTATGAAGCAGCTGTATTATTGTCAGTCTAGATCTGACATATTTTAGAATAGGGATATTTCCAATATTCTTGGTAAGAAATGAGATGTTGGATGTTTTAAACAATGAATAACTAATGTAAAAAATATATAACTCCTCACGTTGACATGGTGTTGCCCACGCTGAGTAAATAAATGAGTTACAGCAGTAAGCAAAGAGATAAACAATTCTACATTTTCATTATAACTGGCGTACAATATATAATCAAAGCTGTATTGAGAAAAATCTGCTTTTTATAAGATTTACAGATCAGACTTAGAATCGCTTGCGTGTGTCAGCTAAGCCTAAATTCTAGCGTAAACATTTTCTTGGTAAATGACTCAAATGATTAATGAAGAGGCATCGTAGAAAAATATGAATTTACCAGCTGAATATCAAAATACTTAGGATGCTTAATATCATTGCCGATCATAATGATATGGTTTGTTTGCTTGTAATACTGCAATACTAAGAAAATAACCCAGTACAAAATAACCGACTTTATACCTAAGCAAAATTGGATCTAAAGAGAACATATGATTTACATTAGTTTTCAAATACTCAGTTAAAGCGATTGATACTTTCTTGAATTATTAATACTACTTCTCAGAAAGATGGCAAATTGAGTAAATAGTGACTTTTGTATAAAAAATCAATGCTCTTTATATACAAGTAGATCATAATATTGTTTTTTTTCAGTAGCAAAAAAATATAAGTAATAAAAGGATAGAAATATATATATATATAAATCATGTGTCATATATCTTATGTATTATGATTACAGTCACCATTTACCTTTCCAACGCGTCTGATAAAAACCGTTCTATTGAGTGCTGTGCAAATGAAATGAGGCTACAAATGAAGGCCAATATAACACGTAAAATTTATAATGGGCAGCAATTTTTGTCTTTCGGTTTTAAAAGGACCTTAGAAATTCCTTCACTGCACTCTTACCTGAATATTCTGAATATTAATGGCTGCTTCTCTATAAAGAAAAGTATCTATATGTCGGGTACCTGATGGTTGTTCCCCCACCACAGAACAGGGCAACCTTGAGAACGGAGATACCATTTCAACACACACACACACACACACACACACACACACACACACACACACAACACAACACACACACACACACACACACACACACACACACACACACACACACACACACACACACACACACACACACACACACACACACCACACACACACACACACACACACACACACACACACAAGAATGAAAGAAAAAAATGTCATCAGGTTTGGTTACCTTCTGTGGTGGCGGATAGTGCTATCAAAATTCTCATGGTATATACAGATAATCTACACTCTTTAGACAAAGAAAGTGACTTATTAACACACGCGAAGTACAATAACAGAAGGTAGACATCATTCTGTCATTGTGTAATAAAGATTTCATATATAAAATCGTTCCGATAATAATGTTTTCGTTTTCTGTTGTGTAAACTTTGTTCGTTAAGTTTTAAAGACTGCACATTTTGATCATGGAATATTCTAATTAAATTAGGTGTATTTGCTTTCGCTCTGGTGCTGAGGTCGCCCGCTGGCACAACTCTTTTACAGCCTTTCAAGGGTTGCTGGGCTAAGGCAAAGTTTTAACGCAAAGAAAAAAATAATAATAAAATAAGCCTATTCTAACATTATAGTTATTTTTCAAAGTTGTTGGATGCTTTAGATCTAATATGGGTTTTGCAAATACTACAAAAGACTGTGCTAACTATTGCCAATGCGATAGACAGTATGCTAATCCACTGTCTAATCAGTATATTGGTGTCCACAAAGTTGATGAGCGTGAACTATAAATGCTTAAGTCCCATCAAGAAAGCAAAGCTCTTGCACTCAGCCCAAAAGGTGTATCCCTCTGTTCCCTTCTCTTAATTTCTTTATTCTCTTAATTAACTGATTTATCATCATCGTTTCTTATAAATATATAGATGTGATACTTAATTGATCTCACGCCTTCTATCTGTTTCGTTCTGTTTAGATGTTTTCTAGTTTTATACAAGAAAGTAATAATATATAACACATTTACATCTATATCACAACATGACTTTACATGTATTGGGTAGACATAGCTTCTGGCAGATTATATGCGTTATCATCAGATTTATTTGTATTTTCTTGCTCTTGCTAGATTAAGTAGAATCTTCAATGTCGCATGGTGTTTTTGCATATATTTTACTTATGGTCAACATTGCCAGTTGTTGTCAGCAAGTTTGTCATTGATTTGTTTTGTATCTATATATTTGACAAAATATGATTATTATATGAATATGTAAATGTAGCTGTCTGAACTGATTTGATGTAATAAGATATTTCATCTAACAACTAACAGCATTGTCCTTTATTAACCCAAACAAAACCACTGGTTAATGAATGCGATTATTGTTCCCACAAACAGTATACAAATGAAAAGAAAGAAGAGAGAGAGAGAGAGAGAGAGAGAGAGAGAGAGAGAGGAGAGAGAGAGAGAGAGAGAGAGAGAGAGAGAGAGAGAGAGAGTGTGTGTGTGTGTGTGTGTGTGTGTGTGTGTGTGTGTGTGTGTGTGTGTGTGTGTGTGTGTGTGTGTGTGTAAAAATGTGTATAAGTGTAAGATTATTCAACACTTGAAGAATTGTAGTAAATCAAAATACAAAATAAATATATCCTTCATATCATAAAAATATATAGATTATTGTAATATTGACTTCGATTGAAACTCACCACTTACCATCAAAGTATTTAAAATATCTAAATTTCTTCACATCTTTCAGTTGCAATTGCTAAGCTCTTTTGGTGATATAATCATCACTTGCTTCTCTTCTCAGTATCTCATGAGTGGCTACAATCAAGAATGTACATAAAAGGTCATATTAAATGCTTTCTTTTAATGAAATCCTTTAATAAAAAGAAACAATATTACACAATACACTCGATGCTCTTTTAGAGCTTTCATTCAAATTTTCAGGAAAATATGAATAAATGTAAACAGTATCACCTATGAGCAATATTTCTGGCCTGTCAATAATGATAACTGATTTTCAAAACACAAATAAAATGATGCAGAGCAAGACTGCTCTTTTCCATTATTGTTGCACAGCTTTTTTCAACTCATACTATTTACCTATAAACTGCATTTTCTACCTTTTGTATTAAATTAACAAAGCTCTTGACTGGAATATTGTTTCTATACAGAATATCTATGATGAGTGGTAACAGAACCTTGGGCCTTGGCTGAGAATCCATTATCAAATCATATTTCATACTTATATACACTCACGTCATCCAGCACCTTCATCTTTTTCCCTCTCTTGCTGCAGATCAATTTCACTTCTTCCTTCAGTCATATAAAAATACCTTATAAAATCCTAAACACATTTCAAGACATTTCGCATCCTCACAGAGTCAGTTCTGTGAAAGATTCATTAGCCAAGGCCAGGTTCCGCTGAACACAGAGGAGCTTGGCTGCTGCTCTTCTTGCTCCAGCAGCCTGGGCCGGGGTTTGGGCACCAATGAAATCACCAATGAAATCCTTGGCCAGGCCAGACTGACAGGTGGGCTTGGGAGCAGTGATTGCCAACAATTCAGCATATGTGAAAGCATCCGGTGGTGACAGGAGAGGCACCAAATTAGGCAGTAATGCAGGAGGAGTCAGGGTGAGGAGGGTGTGGCTGTATGGGGCAGCTATGAGCTCATGTAGAATGTTAACAACAAGCCTAGTTACTGGACTCACAACACCTGCACGGCTAACCAATTTTTTAAAAAAAACAAAAACTACATATTATAATATATTTTAATATATATATTATATATATATATATATATATATATATATATATATATATTATAAATATATATATATATAAAATGTATATATATGCAAAATTTGTAAATTTCTCCAAAAAATCAAATCCCAAACAAATGTACAAGTTTTTGGAAAACTCTTAGATCTTAAATTATCGGAACTGTCTTTATCATATGTTCATTTATTATAATTATCTATAGGGACATGGAGCTGCTCAATGTATGTTTATAATTTTACCTGGAAAATACACAGGTGAAAGAGTTGTTGTTAAAGACTTTACTCCACAAAATAGTTATAAATTAGCTAACTTTTTCCCAGGGAGGGGAGGGAGGGAGGGAGGAGGGAGGAGGGAGGGAAGGGAGGGAGGGAGGGAGGGAGGGAGGAGGGAGGGAGGGAGGGAAGGGGAGGGGAGGGAGGGAGAGAAGAGAGAGAGAGAGAGAGAGAGAGAGAGGAGAGAGAGAGAGAGAGAGAGAGAGAGAGAGAGAGAGAGAGAGGAGAGAGAGAGAGAGAGAGAGAGAGAGAGAAGAGAGAGAGAGAGAGAGAGAGAGAGAGAGAGAGAGAGAGAGAGAGAGAGAGAGAGAGAGAATTATATTTTGCTTCTAAATTACCTGCACCCCTGTATACATTTACATCCACATAGCCATGTACAAACGCACAAACACAACAGACATAAACACATGAAAAAGAAGAAGCATAGACTAAAAAATCTTTCTGCTAACTAGTGGAACCCTTGGTTCGAGCACCCCTTAGTTTAAGCCCATCAGCCAGCCCAGAGACACTGTGTTAGTAGAACACTTATATTACACTGACTTCTGAAATGGGCATAATAAATGAAGAAATCCTACTTCCACATAAATGATCCCAACTCAATTTTTCAAAAAAATGAAATATAAAAATCAATAATCAAACTGCAATCAACACAAGCCTGTGAGGTATTTCCAGCGTTCATTAGGCTAACCTGTGTCATGAGTAAGAGTAGTGACTGTACAGCAACCAGAAGTGATGTCCCATCTTTTGTCAACCCTGGAGTACCTCTGGCAATTGCCAACTCTACAGAATGTGCCTGCAAGCTTGATTCAAGGTCATCCAGTATGCGATCATGATAGGTACGCTTTCTGTAGTTGCTAGGACCTCCAGGTGTGGCTCCCATTACCATACTCATTGTACTCCCTGGCTGTTGGATATTAAGAATGATTTAAGTATTAAACATAAAATTATGTGTCTCTATGAGTTACTCTCAGAAGTCTTTCTGCTTTTTTCTCATCTTCTCAATACTTCTCTTTATTGGAATCCTTCATCTAAATCACTTACCTCAGGCTTAACGGGAGGTTGCTGAACAGCCAACCAAGCAGATATGATCATCATAACGGCAAGATGGGCCAGAGCATGTGTTCTAGGTTCACTAAGCAAATCAGCTGGAAAAAAAAAATATACAAGCCATAAAAGTCACAACAATACCAGTATTTTTTCTTAAAACATACAAATCTATTCTTTCACAGCATCCAATATGTCAAGAAGGTAAAATTTGTTTTTAAGAGACAAGCAGGATCTTACAGATAAACTTATCAAAGGTCTCACCTGAACAAGGCCCAGATATGTACATGGGCAGAGCATGGACCAATAAGCTCAGAGTGCAACCAACCACATCTTGGTGTAAAAGGGCATAGATGAGATCAACTGCCCGTGCCAAATCTGACTTGAAAACACTCTGCATCCCAGTCTGAAAGCATAGAGAACATCATTATAATATTCAGTCTTTTCAACTATGGTGTAGTATGTTACCTATGACTGTAATGCAAAACCACCTTTTAAATACCAAGCATCTACCCATAAGTATTTTTTTCACCACAAAGGTAGCTTACCACATTCTGCATGGTCTTCGCTACTTATAGTGATTGTGGCTGAGCTGTCTATAACTGGTAGAATTTTTCTCTTTTGCTTTGAATGACATGTATTTAGTGTCCCTAATATATCTGACACTTTTGCAAGACTTTTTCAGCCACACTCACCATATTACCCCTACAGCCCTTCCCAATTGGAGGCCTTCATTTCCCTTAAGCATACTAGACTTGTCTGTCCGAGGATCCATAGACAGCCACAGTGAGTGATTGTCAGCCACTATGTACAGTATCCCCCAGTGGAAAGGACATCATCCCAGAAAAGACCCAAGTGTCTGCAATGACTTCGTGGATGAACTATGCATCAAAAATAGTAATGTATTCTATGAATATTGAATTGAATCAAATTTGATCAAGTGAAAGTTTTCAAGAAAGAGGACAATAAACTTTCAGAAAAATCCGGTGCCTTATACCACCCTACGTCACCAAAACCCCCCCCCCCATTTCCCAAGAGCATGACTCCTCCCGGGAATACTTGCTTCCATGTTTCTCTCAGCAGGTTTGACAGAGGTTCCTGGGATGAGAGGAGTGAGTTCGTACTTTCTTCTTTCTGGAGGCTTTTCCCTGAACTGCTGCTGTGTGGACAGAAATACTGGGGTTAGGCTTTACATCACATCTAAATGGAGTAAATTAAACAAGTGACAAAAAAGAAAAGAAAAAAGTTGTTTACTCTTGCCTGAACAAAGTTTTGTAAAAAAAAAAAAAGAAGAAAAAAAAAATACATATCACCAATGTCATACTTAAATACAATCGGCCAATTCTGAAGAAAAAAAAGATATGATCACTAACAAGATATAAATGTATGTATAAACTTACTTGTTCATGGAATCATTGTTAACTGCTGGTTGTGCTCCTCCTTTCATTACCTGTGCCATATTTTCGACAATCTGCACCATTAATGTAGATCTGAAAATTTGTATAAAAAACTATCAGTAAACTCTTTAAACACATCTTTTGTGATTAACCAAATGTATTTCTTTATCAGTTACTAGCAACTATTATTCTTATCAGTGTTTCCTTAAAAAAATGGTTGTTAGTTTTACCTATCCTTGAAATTTTCAAGAGTTGGTACAGAAGCATCGTGATCATTAAAAGAAGTCAGAAGGTAGTTTAAAAAGCTAAGTGGCTGGACTGCTTGCTCTCCATCCACAACCTGAAGAGATATATTTATGTAAAATTACACACTCTCATCATAACAACACTTAAAAACATATGATATGCATATTCCTCAAGGAATTGAAATAAAATCTATATTAATTGTTTGATAAAGTTAAATCTGAATAAACACCATAATAACCCTCTTTTTAAACCGATTTCATTTTTCAGTTTCTCATTCTTTTGCTTTACACTACTAACCTGCACATGGGAACAGAGCCAAGTGGCCACACAAATGGGAAGACAGCACAAGTGATATCGAAGACGGTCAAGCAACTCTTTCACACGCTGTATTGGTACTGCTCCTTGTTGAGCAGCACTCACCACTTCCCTAAATGCAACTGCTGCTACCTGACATAACTCACTCCATGGCACCATACTGAAACAGAAAATGAAGTTAGCATAATATCATATTTTCTCAAGCCTGAAAATTGGTAGAGCTTTTGAAACTACTACTGATATATACAGCAATAATTTTTTTTGTTTAATATTTACAAGAATTATATTGCAATCATCACAAAAGGAGATCTCATTAATATGAATTTCTTTGGCCTACTGCTTCAAGAAAAAGAAAATGATGAACAAACAGCTACAATAATAAAGTCTGTCCCAGCTCAGGCTAGTCAACATTCAAAAATATACATACACCTAACTCTCTGCTATTGCCCTTAATTAGCTGCATACCTAAGAGCTATAACAGAATTTTGCGTTACTGGATCTTAAGAAATAATGATAATAATCTTAACTGGTTTTCAGACATGATCTACCTACGGATTTGTTCCCATTTTTTCATAAACACCAAAACAGGGAATGAGAATGATTCATTTGACACATTTAGATTATATAATAAAAAATAAATGTGTCAACAAGAATACAAAACCTAATCACATATAATCATTCTCTCTCACCCTCTCTTTCTTTCTTTCTTTCTTTCTTTCTCTTTCTCTTTCTCTTTCTCTCCCTCTTCCTCACCCTCTACCTCATTGTTCACACTCACAAATAGTATTCCTTCACCAATAAGACTCTCGCAGAAGATAATGTCAAAATGTACTCCATATTACTTCAAAAACACCTATGCACTGAATTTTGTGCACTATAAGCTAACACACTTGGGTTTGTGTTAGCAGAGGGATTGAGTGTACAAGAAAATTGAGTAAGATGTACAAAATAAATATCTGCTTGACTTACTTGTACTTCAAATCAAGGTCTGTAACATTGACTTGTCTAATGAAGTCCTCAACAGCATTTTGGTCTGTGCGAGTGGTCATCAATGGTGCTTTCACACGGCCTAATTCCGGCATGTTCTCCTTCATCCACTGTTCTACAAAAGTCTCACACTTTTCTGATACAACCACCTGTGTATTTGGAAAAAATAGGGAGCTTGCAGTATTATGAGCTGGTATTTCATGTGTTGTCTATTGACCAATCAACCATTGTGAGTGGGTTCATTATACCAACAGTAATAAAAATAAAAAATTTTCTCTAAAAAATCAAAGAATAGTTTAAGCAGGTGAGATCAGGCTGGCCTAGTATTTGACTTCTTGGTGACTAAACACTTGTAAAGTCTTCTATGTACAAACGAGATTAATAAGTCAAATCACAGTGGATAGGGTATGCCTACACTTCCCTTCAGGTGTGTCAACAAGTTAAAAGAAGTACCCATCCACAGCTGGAAAACTGTTACAGTACATGTATATATACCAATACTATAACATGTTTTATACTTTGTATATATCATTCCTTGTAATGTTAATATATTATTTCTTTGAAATATCAATAGCTTTGAAGTATGGTTCAACAAAGTGGAACTAAAACTCTGTGATCATTACAACCAAACAATGAATAAAACTTATACCAGAATAATATTTCAAAATTACATGTAAAAATATTAGTGATGGTGATAAAAGACACATTTATACTTACATCAATGCCATAAAGTTGTGCAATATGGCATAACAAGAGGAAGGAAATATCAAACATCAGAGCACGGTTGATAGCCATTTTGGAAGTCTCTCCAGGCTGAGGATCCTGCAGAAGAGTAAAAAGTTAATAATGCCTATGGTCAACATAGTATCATTGCAGCAGATGACAAAATATACAGCAACAGCAATGATGATATGTGTATATTAACTCAAAAAATGAGTATGGTATCGAAGATCTTCCTTCTTCCTCCTTAATATAATCATATATTCATAAACATATACAAAATGAAAATAAAAGAACTTACCATACTGACTTCATTAAATTTGACAAACTTCTGTGCAAATATATGAAGACTGCCAGAGGCAGCAGCTGCAACCAGCAGAAGATCTCGACTCTTCCCACTAATCAGCAAATTCATGACAGGTAAAACAGATTCCTGCCAGAACAATAACAATCTAATCTATTAGTTTTCATAATCCCTACAGTGTCTTTTATATAACTATTTCTTGGTTCCCTTACAGTAGGTCATTGCAATTATCATAATTGTTTTACTGATTCTTATAATTTAAGTCACTTTGCTATTATCACATTCCGAATTTATTTCATTTATTATTTTCATCATTTTATTACTGTCATAACTATTTTGAACAGTTTCACTGTCCCTATCATAAGAGCAATCATTAACACAACTATCATAACTACTATCACTCAGAAATATTATGGTGCACCACAACATGACATTCAATCATTTACAAACTATGACCTGAGATCAAACAACACAGTTTCACAAGCAACCTAAGAAAGTACCTGATTCTTATTACTGAGTGTCTTTAATATACTGGTGACAGTAGGCTGGGCACGGAGGATAAGGTTTGGATTACCGGGATGAGAGCCTTGGGCATCATTCTTCTGAATATTGGACAGGACATTGGATTCCTTTACCCTGCCATAAAGAACAGAAATATAGTTATAAAAGAAATATACTTTTATGGATGTTTATGAAATAACACTGAGAACAATAATAAGAGTATTCAGACTCTCACAATAATATACAAGTGGAAAAATCAAACATAAGTACAGGTAAAAATATCTACTGCTGAAATATATAAGTTATATGAATTCATATTGCTGATACATGATATACACAACCATTGCTCTGGGTATCCTGTATTGGGATAGACCAAGCTGAGATATCTCACACTGGGGTAACCAGACCTGGAATAGGCCATAACAGGTACTACAACTGAATTAACACAGATCATAACGATTAATAGAATGCCAGAATCAAAAGAGTGTAGCATGCACATACTTATAAAATGTAAAAAAAAAAAAAAAAAACTGCCAAAATATAATATGGATGAACATCATTTTTCAGATAAAACTGCTGTGTATGTGTGTCTGTGCATGCACAGAAATGCACAGCCGCACACATGCAATATTACATGCTTTGTTTCTTTCAATTAAATTGTGTTAAATTATGAATAACATTCAATATGAAAGGATTGTCTAAAAACAAATCTAGATAGCAACTAATATATCTATATTTTCTTTAAATATTTTTTCAGTTGAACAAAATCTCAAGACTGCCTGATAAATGAGTAATAGATTGATAAGAGATCTAGATGTTTCTAGACATGCAGGAAAAGGTAAGTTGCAAATACACAGACTTAGGCACTGTAACTATGTTACAATGTTTATTCTATCAAAGTGTTTGCTTTTTAAAATGCCCTAGGTATTCTGTGCTAGGAAAGACTAAGGCTTGGTATCTGAGACAAGGAAATACTGAAACAAGGTAGCTAGAACTGGGACAGACTAAAATGAGGACAGACTAAAATCATATACTGGGATTGGAGTGCTGGGTATCAAACCTTCATTTGATCCAAATTTGATATTAAAAATACAAACCTTTTTGTAATGATTTCTTGGGCATCTCTTTCAGATATCAAGCTGGTCTTGTTACAAAGTTCATTCAGAAGGTATTCAAGACAATTACAGTTGATTCTAGAGTCAACTTGGTCTAACAGTATTGTTAATTGTGCCAAACGCTGAACTGCTGTTAGTAAATCTTCAGATTCTCCTGTGGCATTTTCTCCTGCAAAAATGAATGTTATCTAAAATAAACATTAAAATCCAATCAATAATTAATTATGCACCAAAACCTCCTCACAAAGGTAATAAATGGAACAGCGACTGATGCAGATTTCATATTTATACATATACATATAAATATTTATTTATTCTTTTAATGAATTGAAACTAATATATTGCAATAAAAAATCAATGATTATCTAAAAAATATAACTTCAATTCATCATCTACAAAATCAAAGTCAGTACGTATGAACTCAGAACAAAGGAATCAGTTGTTCTAAAATTCTGAGATACTGATCTGTCTCTGGGTATAACTTTTGAGAGTGAATCAATTTGACAAGTTTAAATTCATGCCAAAATACTACTACCTACTTACCATTCAGCATAACATGGATGGTATATAAAATTGTTGGAACTTTGATGAAGGTGAATCCGACCCACTTCAATTCTTGGTATGCCTGGTGCTCAGGACAGCTCAGTCCAAGGAAACTTGATCTCAACAATTCTAAATACAGTTGCATTGTGGTGAGACCCTAATAAGATAAAAAAAAATAAAAAACCTTCATAAAAATGCTACAAAGGAAACAATCTTTACCACAGAAAAACTATTTGAATAAAACCAACTCCCACTCATCCTCATAGAAATAAGAATTCAACAACATTGTGAAACTTTTGTAAGGAACACTTTAGGTAACATTATTTTAAACTTAGTCAAGACTAGCATGAATACTGAGTATTGGGTTTGGTACTCTAGTTTAACCCAGAAACTCTGGGCTTCCTGTAATTTATCCCTTCCCTGTGGCCAGAGCATGTCTATGCAGGTGCCAGATCACATCCTTGGATACTTCAATATTTTGTGGGCATAGCTAATAAAAAACAAACAAATTAAATATAACAGCTGTGCTAACTTCTTGTGCAAATGTCAGCAAGGAAAGCCTGGCACAGAGTTTGGGCACAGAGAGGAGAGGTTTATTGGGAGTGCACAGGATGAATTATGTCCATTGTCTATTGACCCATATCCAGAGACGTCTAGACACTAAAAGTTAGAAATGGCTGAGTTTGATCAATCTAGGGTAGTTTTCTTTATGCCTGACAAAATTAAGTTTGGTTATGTCATATATAACTATTCTAGTTATAACTAGTTAATTAGCAAAACTACATTAGGTTAAGGCTATAGTAGATTGAACTACCATTCTTCTCTATGGAAAGGCCAAGGTTGTCATGGAGACTGGGAGTGACAAATGAACAGCATATTAATTACAAAAGGACATACCACTGCCTATCTTACTATCATTACATTCTTTCAGAACAATTTATCTGCAAGGAAACTACAGAAAGATGAATAATAATAAAAAAAAAAATCATAAATCAATTTGTAAAAATGCACTTTCACCATCCTCTATCTCTTTATACCTGAAGTTGTTGCAGAAGAAGAAGCTGATGAGCAAATGTTGCAGCATCCCGTGTGGTATGTGTGATCACTTCCAACATCACTAGACTGTGCATTGCATGGCACAATGGAACTGAAGTGCTATCAAATTTGTGCTTACTGCCTATACTGTCCAAGGGCTGGATGTCACGTAGTTGACTATAAAAAAAAAAATCTAATTATAACACATATTTGGGGCAAAAGATCGCTCAAGGCTAGAGCTTACACTTTTTATGGGTAGTAGTATATAAATATACATAAATATCTTAATGGGTAGTAGTATATAAATATACATAAATATCTTAATATTCATTTAATGTTTGTGTTTGTGTGTGTTTGTGTGTATTTGTGTGTGTGTAGATAGATAAATAGAGAGACATATATGTAAAATAATTTTCTTTATGGAATTAAAATCATGCATATACTGTTATGTTTGCTTGTAATATGAAGTACACTAGACTAAATTCTGCTCACCAAACGGTTTTGATGAGAATATCCTTGTTTTCAATAATTGTCCCAGCACCGGCCAAAAGAGTCTCTACTTCAGTCATCTTCTTCATGCAGGTACTCCAGGTTCCTGAAAACAAATCCCAGTGTTTATAGGTTCAGACAACTGGGCCTTCAGAATCTGATGGTATAATGTTCTTCAAAGTGCAGATTGAACTGCAACAACTGGATGTCTATTTTCTTTTTTTTAATGTTGAAATCTCATGTTGTAGCCACTCACCTGGTTCTTCTCTTCGGCCAATTTCCAACATGCAGGTAAGGAATGTGCAGTTCAGGATTTCATGCAAAATTGATGCAGCAAGGCTGAGGTTGGCAGAGAGTTCGGGGGCATTACGCAGATCCAGCAGCTGCTGTGTTGACCACCCCATAACCTAAGAGTAAAAATGTAAATATCATACCAGATAGAGTACATGTCACCTTTTAAGGCCTTATCACAATAGTATTTTTTGTCAATTTTTGTGTTTTCATATGAACTTTCTGTATCCAAATTATAGTTATACAACAAAAAAGGTGAGGTGATGTCATAAAAATAATATACATATAAAAAAATTACTGAACTCACCTGTATCAACCATTTAACCCCACCAACAATAGAAGTAGCCAGAACAAGACAGTCTTCTGGCTTTCCTCTACATGATACACTTTTCTGTAATAAATAATGAATCTATATTAGATGTAACGTTAACTTAAAACATTGAACAGATGTATTACATTAATTAAATATTCTATAAAACATTTTTTCAACACTGGGGTACTTCTTCTAAAGCTCAAAAATGATTCAAATACTATCAGCATACCATCATAGACTGCATGAGATCAAGCAGAGCATGAACACAATGAGGCTTGTGCAGGCCATCATACTTGCTGATGCTCTCAATCACACCACCATATGATACAATCTGAAAGGAAATGCAGGGAATCATAAGCACAAAATTTCATTAGATATTTTAAAACATTAACAATTAAACTGTTCCTGAGATTTATCAATAAAAAAATAATAATAACAATAAAAAAAACATATGTGAATAGTACCAACTCATACATTCTTCACCCAATATAAAAGAGAAAATATTTAACTCTAGTTTATATCTATAATCATCCCTAAGAACTCTATACCTGTGAACTGAGGGAATGCCTCAGATATGAAAGAATGAGATTATTTGGTAGCGGTCCCATGAGCGCTTGTTGGAGAATGTAGTCGGCTAAATGGTAGATGTCTCCACTCACAGCACGAGGCAGCACCTGATGAGCATAATAAATGAATTCTTATATAAAATCATTCTAGCTAAAACCAATATCAAAATTTCATATTAATGTCACATTCTTTACAACACATGTAGATGATCACCTTCCAGAATACTAAATATCAAAAAGAAAAGGAACTGCATCTCGAATTACCGTTTTGATGTGAATGCCCCACTGGAGGTCTGACCATCTCTCCCGCCATGCTCGGATGAGCAGAGAGCGTATGGTACCAGCCTTACTGCTGGATAGTGGCTCTAAAACCATTGTGGTCTATTTGCTTGTGTTGACAAATGATGTCCACAAAGCTTGATCTGTGATTAAGATGATATAAATATTTAAATTTCTTTTGAAAATATTAAATTAACTATAAAAAACAAAACAAAAAAAAACTATCACTAGATATCACCCCTATCACTTTAAAACATTCTAAAACATCACATAGTTAAATTATTTCACTGTATGAATGAAATTTTCTAAGCTATAACTAAGAAGCAAATCAAATAAAAATTTCTGAACTACAAATTGTTATCTCAATACATGTAGTCCTTGGTCTACTATAAAGTTCCATTCCTAAATCCATGCTGAAACATGAAATCATGTAAAACAAGAAAATCATTCCTCTAAGAAATAACAAAACAATTTCCTAACCTGACTTCATGATTCTAAATTATTGGAAAATAGTTAAATATGGTAAATTAAAAACTCTACAAAGTTATAAAAGTTGTGTAAACTATTATACCCAATAATTCAAGACAGATATACCAAGCTTACATCAGAGTTTGAGAAAAGGTTGGTGCATGACAGTGGAGGGGAACGTGGGTGGCCATTTACAAAGACTCTGAAGTAGTGGGGCCAGGGAAGAGATTCCTTCAAGGTCTATATAATCACTTACACAGACCTAGAATCCCTTGTCCCTCTTCGAACACTGTCGCCTTGAAATATATCCAATATAGCTTATTTGCTGCTTCTCTTCTTCTTCTCCTTGTTTATATCTGTAGCAGATATATCACTGACATCTTGCACAACCTTTGATGATATCAGGTGCTGTGTCTACATGGTGGAAAAACAGCAGGCTACTATACAATCAGTTCTTTATATTTTCTTTTTTTTAGTTGGTTCTTCAAAAGAAAGTGCTTTTGCATCATGTGGCTTTGTCATAAAGCTCATTACAATGCTGCAGGCATTTTTCCATCTTTTCAATCACAGTGCCAGGATAATACTTGTGAGCAGCATAACTGTTGAGGAACATAGAACAGCTGTCTTCTTTATCTTCTTATTCTCATAGATTGTATCCACAGTTAAATGTGCCATAGTTAATGTGCAGCAATGCTTTAGCAGCATTATTGTCAAAAACACTGTTTACACTGTTTCTTAGCAAGTGATATACTCTTGTACTTTCTTTTTTTCTTACTGTTTACATGATTACTTGATATCCCATTGGGAGCCATCTTTCAGGTCAATACCTTGTATGAGTAATGGGTGAACAATGGCCAAAACAATTAAGCACTACATTGGAGGGAGAAAAGGAGGGAGGGGGGAAGGCACAAGATACATCCAAAATCCTGAGAACTAGTCAAAACTTGCAGAGCCTTAGCTCAAATTTAGCATTATTCCAAATCTTTTGTGTCATAAACAAGTGAGAGCCATGAAAATGAATAATGTTTATAAGGAATACTGCAAACAGAGGCATCATAAAATGAGGATTACTTGTATTTTCAAAAAAGTTGGTTTACATTCAACACTTACCACAGTCCCAAAAAATGCATATTTCTTGGAAATTCTTGCTGTAAAAAAAAAAAATAGTTAATATTAAAAAGTAAAAAATTAAATATCAAGTGTAATCAATTACATCAACATTAAAATCAAAGTATCCCATAACTTTCCTTTTTTATGTCCCTTATTTTCTGGCAGTTTTCAAAATGTTTAGCTTGTTGATTACAATGTACACATCTATATAAGTGAACCTACTGCTACCTAGAAATTCACTCAAGTATGACATATTTCATAAGCCTAGAATTGCAGATGATTGCTCTAAACACCACACATATATCAATATTATAACAGTAACACACAATCTTAGTGAAATAGAAATGTAAAAGTATACAAACATGTACACTTATTCTCAGTTGACTCTGCATACCAAATTTTTTGCACTGCATTTCCAACCAACTAGTTGCATTTGTCATTTCTCTTTTTAGCGCACTGAGTAAACATACACAGTTATTTGCCCAATGTACGACAAACAGTGGTCCAGAAACAATCAGATATTTTATATAGGTGTAGGTAATTTTACAAAATACTTTTGCATAACCAATTGTAATGACCTTGTTATCAATGGACTCCTCTCACTTTCTTCTCAACAAATATATAAAAAATTATGCAACAAAAACTCCCCCCCCTATTAGCAACAATCTTCCTGGATGACAGCTATTCCCCAAGCCCTACAGTGAAAGACAAAGAATCCTCTATGTATTCTCGGCAGGATACAGTGTATGACTGATATGTAGGAGCAGGGGGGTTGCAAACATAGATAATATAGTGACTGATTCTGTGTATATTCTGGATATAATATTCATATTGTACCCAACAATTTCCCTGTTACCTTTCCTGCCCTCCCCTACTACTGGGGAGAGGAATCCATTGATAGCAAAATCATTGTGATCAGTTATGCGGTGTTGTCTAAATTGAACTAAATGTAATATGATTATTTATAATGTGTCTACAAAATTTCATAGAAGAAAAATAATTCAATTACTTTTGTTTTGTAATAATTTACAA